CGCTCTTCCCGGGATATTTGATCCGATATTCACCTTCTTAGGGCCACGAAAGCCCGGCTGGGGAGGGGTGGGAGATGCTGGGAGGGAGAAGGGAGGCGCGACGGGATGAGGGCACGTGGGGAGAGCAGCCCAAGGCTCATCAAAGCCTCCTCTGCCCGGGGTGACCGTCGGAGGGACACGTCCCGGAGAAGACGGGAAGAGGTGGGAGATCAGAGGCCGTGAGAGCACGAGCTGCACGACCCCTCCGCCTCCGGCGGCACCGGAGCCAGGGGAAATCGGACAGAGAGACGGAAAAAATACAGCGTGGTCCTTCCCTCCGAGAAGATGGGGGCTGGTCCTGCCGAGACCCCACCACAACCCCGTTATTTCTGCAGTTCACGGCCCGAAAAAGCGACTTCGTTTCGATTCCGATGTTCGTGGGGGCATTGGCTTTTTTTTTTTTTTTTTTGACCTTTTTAAGGTTTTAAGCAGCACAGAAACCCCCAATGAATTCCCCCCTGCGGTGAACGCAGCAGCTGATATAGATGGAAGAAAGAGATATATACGGACAAATCACATTTATAGCCAGATATGCTCATTATATATACCTAAAATATACATAGTACCTGAATATATAGACATCCACATATACACCCAAAGGTAAAATCCCGAGCGATGCTGGGAATCGGCTATGAACAAGTGTTGGAGGGGGGAGGAGGTTTAAATTTGGGAGCTGGGGTGAACATCCAGCCCCCCCCCCAAGCTCAGTGGATGGAGGAGAAAGCTCCGATTCCCCCTGAAACCCTGGGACGGGGCAAGGAGAAGGGGCGAGATCCCCGTCCCTTCGCTGCTGCCGGTGGGATTAGTGTCACGTTCCTCCTGCCGGAGCGGGCAGCGGGGTGGCAGCAACCTGTCCCTGCTTGCACGCCGAAAAGGTATGGCTTTTGCCGAAGGGGTGGCACGGGGAGGGGGACACGGGGGTGGAAGAGAGCCCCGGAGGGACGGCGGTTGACATTCATGCAAGAGAAGGGCTGAAAAGCTGATGCAGGAGGGGACTTGGCAGGGGAAGGAGCTGCTTCAGCCCCGCTCACAAAAAATTTCCCGGCCCAAAAACCCACCGCGATGACCTTTCCCAGCGCAGCAAACCCAAAAATACCAACGGTGTGGATCTCACCCGTGCCACGGGGCTGTTTTTTTCTCCCCCCCCACCTCGGGGCTCCCTTCGCGGAGATGCTCATTCCTGCATCCCCGCACGGGATTTCTCTGCCTGCGCTGCCCGAAGAGGCGCCGCTCGGGCAGTCGTCCCTCTCCCTCCCCAGGGACGGCACAGCCGACAAATTCAACACGTACGTCTCGCCCTTCCTGAAAGATCCTGGCCCCGCTCTTCTCCAGCCGCCTCTTAAACATCGCCTTTGAAAATATAGCCATATTTAATTTAAGGGACATCTTTACAATTAACCCCCCCTCGGCCCATTTCCCCTTTTGAAATCTTAAGACTGTTGCTTAGTGTCATTTACGCTCAGCCCTTCTCCTCCAAAGCTTGGCGAAACGTTTCGATGGTTTAACCGCCCGGTTTTCCTCTTCCTCCTTTCTCCATCGCGCGGGCTCTTTGCGGAAAAGTTTTTCCCCATCGAGCTGAGGAAAGCGCGGCTCTGCTCCGAGACGCCAACGAGATGGGATTGGGTAAGCAGCACCTTAAATAACGCAAAACCTGGATGCGGTGTGGGAAGCGATGCCGGTGGGGTGGTTATTCCCCCCCCCCAGCCCAGTTCAATAAACCAGGTGAGATCGTGCTCAGCAGCAAATCCACCGCCACAGCCAAACATCGCCGCTGACCGAACCCTCGGGGCGGCGGGGTCGCTTTGCTGCTGACAGAAGGCGCCGATGTATTTTCCTCCGAGTCATTAAAGCGGCCGTTTTTATGTCGCAATGAAGCCTACCCCCCCCCTTCCTTCAGCCTACACCGGCATTTCCCAAAGGGGCAGCCAAAAGCAGACCGCAGCGCTCTTGGGAAAACCAACGGCGAGAGGAAGGATTCGGTTCGGCCCCAGCTCCGAACAAAGGTTGAACGTACGGCGGAGGGAGGCGGGCAGGTCCTGGCCGGCGCCAGCACGTAGACTCAGCGTATTTCAACACGTTTGACATATTTTCGGGAGCCTCAGCCCAAAAAGCCGAGGGTGGGGATTGTTTTGCCAAGGTTTTTTTGCGTGCGTGTGCGCATGGTGTGTGTGGGGGGGTTTGGGAATGACACTTGAGCACCTGGAAACGCACCTCTGCGGATATCCCGTCACGAAACGCTCTCTGAGCTTCTCCTCCGATTGTCATTGAAAAAGACGGTGTCGTCGTCCCCCCGCCCGCGACCGCTTTCTTCTCAGATGGTCAGGAGGGGGATGCAGCCCACGCCAACCCCCCCCTCGTGGCACACCATGGGGGCCATGAACGTCCAACGGTTTGTCTCCGGGTCGTACATTTCTACCGAGCTGAGGTTGGATTGTCCGTCGTAACCCCCGACGGCGTAGAGACGGCCACAGTTCGCAACGAGGGAGACGCGGCTCCTCCGGGTGTTCATGGGGACGATCAGGTACCACTGATCCGCCATGGAGCTGTAGACTTCGGCGATGCTGAGGAAACCCGAACCGTCGTAACCTCCGCAGACGAACATCTTGCTGCCCAACGAGGCGGCTCCGTGGCGGCAGCGCTTGTTGAGCATGCTGGAGACCGGGTGCCAGGTGGCCGTGTGATGGTTGTAGTACTCCACCTGCGGTGACAGAGAGCAGGTGGCATCAGGGGACCTTCCACCGAGACCTACCACGCACCACAGATCCACACAGACAGTTTCCACACGCAAATACAATCATATCTCATACCATTATTAAGGTTTTCTAACACTCCCGGTCCCACCAGCCGTTGTGTTTCACCCCACTCCCTCGGACCCACCTCACTGGTGAGATGGAGGGGGTGAACGGGGAGAGACCACTCTCCCCACCCAATATGCCGCAGAGACCAGACCAAATACAGCTCTGAAGATGCTCCTTCTGCATATCTCCCCGTTCATCAGCTTCTGCGTGGGGTTTTAAACAAGTAGCTGAGCCTCAGCACCAAAAGGATTGAGCACCCTTCAATTAAAAGTTCAATTGCCACCGGATTGTGTCTCGATTGCCAGGTGTTAGTTCTCCTCGTGCACACAAGATCGTGCTGCTGCCCCAAGGCAGAACCTGCCAAAGCTCTGTCAGACCCAAGAGGTGCACATCCAAGCCGTCCTCAGTCCTAGAACGGGTTGAGGTTGGAAGGAATCTCAAAGATCATCCAGTTCCACCCCCCTGCCCTGGGCAGGGACACTTCCCACCAGCCCAGGTTGCTCCAAGCCCCGTCCAACCTGGCCTTGAACACCTCCAGGGATGGGGCAGCCACAGCTCCTCTGGGCAACCTGCCCCAGGGGATCACCACCCTCACAGACAACAATTTCTTCCTGATATCTCATCTCAATTTCCCCTCTTTCAGTTCAAAACCGTTCCCCCTCGTCCCACGGCTCCCCTCCCCGATCCAGAGTCCCTCCCCAGCTCTCCCGGAGCCCCTTTAGGCACTGGAAGGGGCTCTGAGCTCTCCCCTTTTTGGCCTTCTCTTCTCCAGGCTGACCCCCCCCAACTCTCCCAGCCTGTCCTCCCAGCAGAGGGGCTCCAGCCCTCCCAGCATCTCCGGGGCCTCCTCTGGCCCCGCTCCACCAGCTCCATGTCTCTCCTGTGCTGAGGCCCCCGAGCTGGAGGCGGCACTGCAGGGGGGTCTCCCCAGAGCAGAGCAGAGCGCAGCAGAGGGGCACAATCCCCTCCCCGATCCCTTAAGTGTCCCCTAACCCTGAGTGACACTCCCTATTTTCCCCAGGCAACAAAATTCAGCTGTAACAATTCAAGAACTTTCCAGTTTCTCACGTCGGACGACCATCACTCCTGACAGAGCTGAAGCCCACCTCCCGCACCCTGTGGCACTGGGCACTGTCTCTCCCCTTCCTCTGCCACCGTCAGCAAAGGCTGACGTCCCCTCCCTGGACGTTTGGAGAAGGGTTCTCTGGCATCTCAGCGGGGGGAAAAAAAAAAACCAAAACCCAACCAACCACCATTTTTGTATCCCTTGCGTTTCTAGAGAGACCGTTAGACGGACCCCCTCCTGGAAGGGCTCCAGCACCGCTCCAAACTTGTCAGGCGGAGGAATGTGCTCGGACAAGCAGATTTGTAGTTCTTGGCCCTGGGGTGCTTCAGGCTGCAGACATCAGCCTGCCCCCGATCTGCTGAGCAAGGCAGAAAGAGTTCTTGCTGCTCCCAACAAAACCCTTTATTACAGATTTCTGAGAGCGGCGCGTCAGCGCCAGACCCACCGCGGATACAGCTCCCCGTCTTCTCGCTCCCGAGTGGATGAATGAGTCTTTTCTGTTCCGCATCAGTTTGTTTTTTCCCTTTAGAGAACAGGCAGAAAACTGAAACGCAGAGCGGGTGGAAGAGGACAAAAGGCCCCGTACCACCGACTCCCCCTGCTGTGAAGCTTGTTTCAACGATAATCTGTTTCTGACACCGGAGCCATCAAACAGGCACAGAAAGCAGAGGGAAGAGCCCGACATCTGGGGTACTCCAGAGCTCAAAGGGACGCAGTGATAAAATGATTTAAAAAGAGAAGGAAGCGGGGAGACAACAAAATGCGTTAGCTCAATCCTTTTGGCGCTGGGGAACAAGAGCAGCACTTCCAGTCCAGTTCCCCAGCGGGCACCTGGCTGGCTCATTTCTTCCTGAGCAAGAAGGAAGGCCCTGGAAATGATGTAAATTTGGTGGCACAAATACTTGGGGCACTTTGGGTGCACAGGGAAAGGGCACGGAGCCTTCCTGGCCCGACCTGAGCTTTCGGCCACCTGCAGGTGATGAATTTCTGCAGGAAGCTTGCAGGAACCTGCAACCCGCAGACTTACGCTGTTGAAGATCTGTAGGCCGTCGTGTCCTCCTGACACGTAGATCCGACCCTCGAAGACGGTGACTCCAGCGGCGCTGCGGTTGGAGCTCATGGGGGTCACCACCGTCCACCTGGCCGGGAGAGGGGAGAGGTCAGCAAGGGTCCTGCAGGCACAGCACGCACACAGCCCACTGTTGTTTCAACTCTATTGGGTTTTCTAGGACTGGGTTCCAGTAACTCTCCTTTCATAGAATGGGTTAGGTTGGGAGGGGCCTTGAAGATCATCTCGTTCCCCCCCCCTGCCCTGGGCGGGGACACCTCCCCCCAGCCCAGGTTGCTCCAAGCCCCGTCCAACCTGGCTTTGAACACCTCCAGGGATGGGGCAGCCACAGCTTCTCGGGGCAACCTGCCCCAGGGGATCACCGCCCTCACAGCCAAGAAGTTCTTCCAAATATCTAACCTAAATCTCCCCTCTGTCAGTGTCAAACCATTCCCCCTCGTCCCACGGCTCCCCTCCCTGATCCAGAGACCCTCCCCAGCTCTCCTGGAGGCCCTTTAGGCACTGGAAGGGGCTCTGAGGTCTCCCCTTTTTGGCCTTCTCTTCTCCAGGCTGACCCTCCCCAACTCTCCCAGCCTGTCCTCCCAGCAGAGGGGCTCCAGCCCTCCGCTTATGTTCTTTAAACCCCCATTTTGTTCGCTTGCATCCAGGTAAACACTTGCAAGGAGGGACGCTGCTCTGCTGTCAAGATATAAAAGCTTTTCCACCTCATTCACCGTGTTCCCTTTACAGCCCGGACTCCCAGCAGGGCTACGGCACGGCTCTACTCTAGCAGCGAACAGATGGGTAAGCTGTAGGACAGGAAGACCTCTTACTTGTTTGTTTCCGGAGAATAGGACTCCACGGAGTTGAGGGATGAGTTCCCATCGTATCCGCCGCACACGTAGATCTGGCCATCCAGCACCACCGTTCCCATGGCACTGCAACCAACAGCAGGACCCCATCAGACAGCCGAAGTTGCCGCCGCACCGTCCGTAACGCGGCAAATCTGCACAGCCCGCCTTGCCCCGCTGCCTGCTGTCGCCTCCTTCACCCCACCGAACCTTCTCCTCCTCTTCTCCTGGCTTCACCTCCAGGCTGCTCAACCGCTCGATCCCATCTGAGCTCTGAGCCTCACAGGTGATGAAAGATGCTTATAGCATGAGCACACCGTGTTTTCCCGATTAAGGAATGAAATCAAAACACACGGAGCAATTTTGACCCAGATCATGGGTCAAAATCCCAGCGATTCCTGTTTCCATGAAGAACCTCCCCGCTGCTGCTGGTGGGGGACGTCACTGCACAGCCTCAGGAGATGTGCTAATTGCTGTCAGACCTAAAGCTCGTTAAACCAAGGGACCTGACCCTGTCATTACACCTTGTGAATCACATATTTGGCTCCCAAAGGCTCTCAAATAGACCAAAGACGAGAATCCCACCTTGAAAATGTAGTCGTCGAAACTTCTCATAAAAGCTCAGCACCACAGACCTCAGCGATGAATGCCCAGTGCTACAGCTGGACCCAAGAAGCTTCATAGAATCATAGAATTGTTCGGGTTGGAAAGGACCTTAAAGATCTCGTTCCACTCCCCTGCCCTGGGCAGGGACACCTCCCCCCAGCCCAGGTTGCTCCAAGCCCCGTCCAACCTGGCCTTGAACACCTCCAGGGATGGGGCAGCCACAGCTTCTCGGGGCAACCTGCCCCAGGGGATCACCACCCTCACAGTCAAGAAGTTCTTCCTCAGATCTCATCTCAATCTCCCCTCTTTCAGTGTCAAAGCGTTCCCCCTCATCCCACAGCTCCTCTCCCCGATCCAGAGTCCCTCCCCAGCTCTCCTGGAGCCCCTTTAGGCACTGGAAGGGGCTCTGAGGTCTCCCCTTTTTGGCCTTCTCTTCTCCAGGCTGAACCCCCCCAACTCTCCCAGCCTGTCCTCCCAGCAGAGGGGCTCCAGCCCTCCCAGCATCTCCGGGGCCTCCTCTGGCCCCGCTCCACCAGGTCCATGTCTCTCCTACGTTGGGGGCTCCAGAGCTGGACGCGGTACTCCAGATGGGGTCTCCCCAGAGTAGAGTAGAGGGGAGAATCACCTCCCTTGTTTGTACAATAACTGCCATTTCCCTCTGCACAAGAGCATCCAACGTGTGTCCTGCTTGGCTTCAAGGCAGAACAACCCCATCGTGGAAGAGCAACTGCCTCTCCACTGTGGGAAAAGCTCCCAGGAACCTCATTGCTATGGAAAAACTGAGTTTTTCCTGTTACAAAACAGAGCCTCGTGCCCGGGGTTTCACGTACTCAGCGCTTGCAGTGTGCTCTTCCCAAGCGATCAACATCTCAGACCACATTAAAAAAAAACCCAAACAAACAAGCCAGAGAAACCATTATGGTAAAAAAGCGCTCCAAAGCTTGCGGAAAAGTGAACGATTTAACAACTCTTAGCGACCGGACATGGACACAAAGAAAACCGCAGCAGGAACCCTGGCTGTCAGGAAGATGTTTAAAAACATAGAAGCAGCTACCGTGTCGCGGTGGGGAGGACGGGATGACCACGCAACTTAATAGGTGGGTTTTCAAAAGGGTAAGCGCTCAAATCCAACCACAGAGCGGTCCCTAGGCGGGTTGGGAACCGTGCAGCTCTCTCCCTCAAGCACAAAAACCTTCTGCTTAGCTGGAAACACCTCTCCCCGGATGATAAAAATTACTCCTCTCCTCCCAAGCTGTGATTCTCTTATGCTTTCTGGGAGGGAAAGAAGATGCCAGCGCTGGCCAAAGACGGTAAAATAGGTTTATTTGACTCCTGGCAGTGCAGGAGTTTCCAACACGGTGCTACACGGTGCTCATCAGTGCTTTACCTACCGCCTAATATCACAACATGAAGACACGGAGCTCTGACCACCTCCAGTGGCCTCACAGACCTCACCAGCAGAACCTTATTGCTCTCTTTTAGTTTGACTTCGCTCCTTGATGCCATTAAAACTGAGAGATCTCTGTAGCTTAGAGCCCACGCTCCTCAGCTGCTTTTTAATTACCGAGGTCTTAACGGCTTTCCTCGTAAATCGACGCACAGGTATACCTTCGCTGAGCTCCCGACAGTTTTCCCCTCTTACCGGCAAGCGGTGCCCAGACTCAGCGTGACTTAGCCTGCCCCAAACAGGGCTAAGCAAATCCCACCCGCTTCCATCCCGCTCCGCTCCTCCTTTTTCTTTCGCTCCTTCCCCAAACATTGACTTTCTCATTCAGCTTCCACCACCACCCAACACCTCCAGCCTTCCTACAACCTCATGTTTTTCCCCCCTTCTCCTCCAAAAAGTCTCCTTCCTAGTAAGCGAGCCGCACGTACCTTCGCTTGCTGTTCATACTTTCCACTTTGGACCAGGAATCCATCTCTGGGTTGTAAACCTCCACAGTGCTCAGCCTCAGCTGACCGTCGTAACCGCCGATGGCGTAGAGCAGTCCGTTCACCACCGCTACCCCGACTCGGCTCCGGGCCGTCGTCATCGGCTGGCACTTCTCCCAGCGGTTGGCAATGGGATCAAAGACTTCCACCACATTCAGTGAGTCACCTGCATAAAAATTCGCTACTCAAATTAAAAGAGGGAGATCTGATAAAACACTGTTTTAGCAAGTTTGCCCATAGCAGAGGCACGCGAGGGATAAGCGGTCGCTGCTCTGACCCCAAAGACGGGGCCGACACAGGGACTTCGCCTGCTCTTCTCTGGGAAAACCTCTGCGCTCTCACATTCCTGCGCTCTCTCGCACATCCTATTCCAGCCTCCCTGCTCCCACAAAGTCAAGCCAGAGGCATTTCCCAGCCACATTTCTACTCGCCTGCAATGAAAGCCTGCTCCGAAAAATTCCTACAGACCGCGCTCCGCAACGCAGGAGGACTGCGGAGTGTTTCAAAGCTTGCCCACGCTCTGTCCCAGAAGACTTGAGAAGTCCTAAGCTGTGGAAGTGGGACCTTTTATAACCTCACAGGGGCAGCAGAGACCTCCGGCGTCGCATCTGTTGGTGTCGCTGTTTCTCTATCGGATAAATCAGCCGCGTTGCGTGCGACTGGGGTGTGAATCCCACGAGGCAGCGCCCAGCACGCACCCGCTAATCCGACCCTACATCCCAGGTTAACCAAATCGGTCGAGGCTCCGGCAGATCGTTTCATGTACACCTTCCGTCCCCCTTTTTACGCTATGGCTCGGGTCATGCAAGCGCATTGTGTCTGCACGTGGGATCCCACAACCCCACCTAGATATCTCCAAATTCTGCTTGTTGCTATCGGCATCCTCAAAATGCTCATTCTTTTAAGACATGCAAGAATCTGGTCCTAAATAAACCTGACCTAGACAGAGTTTCTAGCTGGAAGATGTTAAACTACGGGCAAAGCCACCTTGAGCGGATCAGTGGAAGGGTCAAAGTGCTGCACAGAGGAGGAGAAACTGCTCAACACTTCACACGAGGGAAGTTCACGATCCCATTGCCCTACCCAGCAAACTATGCTGCTCTCTCCACTGCAGGGAGCGGATATGCAAGGTACCTGCTGAGTTAAGTCCTCCAACAGCATAAATCAATCCCGCGATCGACGTACAACACCGAGGACGGGTCTTGAACGCTGGGAGGTGTGGCCGGCGCTCTGGCATGAGGTGATAGTCTTTTGCCTCATCAACTAGATCCCTGAAACCAAAGCCGAATAGTTAAAGAGCTCGGTTGATGTGATGAAATCCGACTGTCTTAAGCAACATCAAGATTTCATAGAATGGTTTAGGTTGGAAGGGATCTTAAAGACCATCTAATTCCAACCCTCCTGCTATGGGCAGGGACACCTTCCAACTAGACCAGGTTGCTCCAAGCCCTGTCCAACCTGGCCTTGAACACCTCCAGGGATGGGGCAGCCACAGCTTCTCCAGACAACCTGCTCCAGCGACTGACTTTCCCCCTTCCATGGCAAATAATTCTAGAAGGCAACGTGGCCCCCACTGCCAGGTTAAAACTGGGGAGTGTGCTTTGGTTTTTTGCTATGTCAGGTGCTCCGTCCACGGAAAGAGAGAATTTCAGTCTCCAAAACTGCTAAACCACGTTCCTGCTACCTCCACCCCACTGAGGGCCACCATCCCCCGGGTGGTTTTCTAACCTCAGGTCCCAACCTCACCTGCATTTATGGCAGCAACGGACCAGGTCGTCTTGTTGCACGCGATCAGTGAGAAACTGAGGTCGACAAAGGGGTAGGCGGATTTTGGACAGGAGCTCGGGTAGGAACGATTCTCTCTGGTCTCGGTCATACCGTATCCAGGCTAAAGCAGCTTCAAACACCTGTGGAAGAGAGGCATGAAAAATTGGAATTTTGGGGTTGTGGTTGGGTTTTGTTTGGTTTTTTTTTGGGGGTTTTTTTTTGGCAAGTTCCTGAAGATCCCGGTTGCCTGACGAAAAAGAAACCACAATGATCTTCTGATCTCAGATGACATCGTTTCAGGACAGAATGGCGACGCTCTACGTTGCACCAGGGGGCTCTCCTGTCGCGTGATGCTCGGGCGGTTTGGATCTGGCATTGCTTTCTCTGCCTCCAACTCAGTCTGCAATAATACCATCCCGTGGGACTGCATGTTTAGTACAAACGTGCGCAGGGAGATGAGGGAGCTGGGAAGAGAGTTTAGTTAGAAGAGGTGGGACAGAATGCAAAACCTTGGTTACGTAGCGTCAAAAAAATCAGCAAACAGAGAGAACAGTGCTGCTCTATGAAAACCAGAAGATGGATCCCTCTCATCACAACTATCTGTTAACTTTGGGTAACTACACATTAGATGTCCAGAGCTGAGCTGGTTCCTCTAGGCTCCCTTCGCAGCCACCGGAGAGGCAGATAGACCTCTTCAAAGGACAGTTCATCTGCCCTTTTTTGGATGACTCCAGATTACAAAATGAGCCCGGTGATTAGTTTAATTGGACACACGTACTCCTTGGTCTGCAGGACTCTCACAGTTAAAGCCTGAGCTGGGTTGTCCTTCTACACTCTTGCGCTTACATCCAGATGACTACATCCAAGTCCCATCAGTGTCACTTGAGGTGAAGCGCCCAGCTGAGCACAGTGTCCCCAGCAGTCACACTGACCGGGGGGTCACACTCCAAGGCCAATGTCACCTCTGTTCACGGGTTCAGCTCAGGGAGATCACAAACCCACAGCAGCCTCCCAGAAGCTGCAGGAGGAGAACTGGTCACTGCCGGTGACGGCCACCACCTCGCAGGATAGCTGTGCTCTAAACCAGATTACACACCTGCTTTGGGTGGGCTTTTATCGCAACCTATGACGGTGAGAAAAGTCCGGCAGTACCATTGACCAGAACAAAATTATGAAAATCCTTCGACGTGGTGGAGAGAGAGCTGGGACTCTTTAGCCTGGAGAAGAGAAGGCTGAGGGGAGACCTTATTACTACTTACAAATATCTAAGGGGTGGGTTGGAGGAGGATGGAGCCAGACTCTTCTCGGTGGTTCCCAGTGACAGGACGAGGGGCGACGGGCACAAGTTGGAACAGAGGAAGTTCCGTTCCAACACACGGAAGAACTTCTTTACGGTTGGGGTGACCGAGCAGTGGCACAGGCTGCCCAGGGAGGTGGGGGAGTCCCCTTCTCCGGAGATTTTCAAAACCCGCCTGGATGCAGTCCTGAGGGATGTGCTCCGGGCAATCCTGCTTTAGCAGGGGAGTGGGACTGGGTGATCTCTAGAGGTCCCTTCCAACTCTGAAAATTCTGTGATTCTGTGGAGATCTGGAGTCTCTCACATCCCCATTCCCGAGGTTTTCAGTGCAAAAGTACTTCAACAGCACCAGGGTGAGCTTTAAAAAAAACCTCCCAAACTTACTTCCACTCTACAAGGTGCTTTATGATGGGCAGATACGCTGCACTGCACTAAAATACGGCCGTTTCTGAAGAGGGGGCTGGCGGCTATCGGGGCAGAAGGAAATGTCACCAGGGACAGACTCTTTGGACTCCTACAAGGCTCCACTTGGAAAAAAAAACCCCAAAAAAACAGCAAGAAAGAAGTTGGTGGTACGATACAGCAACGTGGCTGGAATGCGAAGCAGGTTCCCCTCCCTCTCTATTTCAGGGGCATTTCAGACAGTCTGATTAACGAAGCGCTCTCTTACCCTACATGGAGATAGCTGTAGGTCTGCTTTTCGTTTGTCACCTCCTCGGTAACCTCCTCAGAAAGAGTAGGACAGATTTCCTGGCTCAGGGACAGGTCCCGTTTCTCCTGCAGACTGTCAGCCCAGCACCAACAGATTCTCAAGGCTGTTGAAACGTCCTAAGGTTGCTCAGCTCCATTTGCTGTTGTTTTGTTTGTGTTTTTTTCTAGGAGCAATATCTAGGAGCGTTATAAAATGCTGCAGCACTTGCAGCATGCTCAAAATCACTCCTCTGGACTTGAACACGAGCTCTGTGAAGAAGACCCACACCTCAGCCTCTCTACCCCAGGACCGGCAGCTTACTGACACTAAGGGGTACAGCTGAAGGTCCTCAGGACCCACCAAGTTCCACCTGTCACCGATGAAGCAAAACACCTCAAACCAGTCACAGAATGGTTCACGTTGGAAGGGACCTTGAAGATCATCCAGTTCCACCCCCCTGCCCTGGGCAGGGACACCTCCCACCAGCCCAGGTTGCTCCAAGCCCCGTCCAACCTGGCCTTGAACACCTCCAGGGATGGGGCAGCCACAGCTTCTCAGGGCAACCTGTGCCAGGGGATCACCACCCTCACAAGAAAAAATTTCTTCCCAATATTTCATCTACATCTGCACTCTTCCAGTTGGAAGCCATTCCCCCTCATCCTATTACTCCATGCCCTTGTAAAAACTCGGTCCCCAGCTCTCCTGGAGCCCCTTTAGGCACTGGAAGGGGCTCTGAGGTCTCCCCTTTTTGGCCTTCTCTTCTCCAGGCTGAACCCCCCCAACTCTCCCAGCCTGTCCTCCCAGCAGAGGGGCTCCAGCCCTCCCAGCATCTCCGGGGCCTCCTCTGGCCCCGCTCCACCAGGTCCATGTCTCTCCTGTGCTGAGGACTCCAAAGCTGGATGCGGTACTGCAGGTGGGGTTTCCCCAGAGCGGAGCAGAGGGGTTGAATCATGATGTTTTGCAAAATCTACAGTCTGAGAAGCTCTACCAGGCATTTCTCAGAGCAAGGTAACACTGGCAGCACAGACAAGAAGTGGGGCTCAGGGTGTCATCACAGCTCTGTCTAGTACCTCCTGGTGTCCCCACTGCGCCAGGGCATCTTCTCAGCTTCATTCAGTCCAGGAATAGGCTCATATCCCATCCCACTCCTGAGCAACCAGAAACCCTCCAAGATAAAAAACTGCCTCTGGCAAGACCTATGCCAGGTACGCACCTGCTCTTCAGACTTCACGTTGAGCTCATCCCTAGAAACGAGCTCCAGGACATCTTCAAAAGGCAGCGCCAGGAACTCTTCCGACATGGATACCTCCACGAAATGCTGATGAATGAAGCTGTTGGCAGCGTCGTAGAGCACCGCACACATCATCGTCTCTGCAAACTGCCGCACTCCCAGACAGTTCTTCGGGTGAAGTCTGGGAAAGGGGAAGAAAAAGGAGAGCAAAAGCAACGTCAGTTTAACGGAAAGATAGAAAGAACTACAAACAGGTTCAGTGAAGAGGACACGTGAGGCAGTGAAAGACACCGCTGTGTCCTCTTCAATGATGGCAGGTTCCAGCTCGCTGATAAACATATCTACGCAGAGATCTGAAGGCGATATCCACAGCAGAGCCGGAGGATGGAAAGCACAAGTTAAAAATGTCCCCTCAGACCTGCCGAGGAGCCACTGGACAGACTCAGCTGGCCCTGCGCGAAGGCTGCAAGTTGTCAGCCGAGGGGAAGCGTGAGGCTCTGCACAGCAGTCCCTCCCTCCCACATCTCGGGACGCCTGGACACCTTCTCTTTTTGTTTTTTTTTTTTAAACTCCAGTATCGGATAAAGCTGGATTCAAGCACACTGCACAAATACCGACCATCAGCCTCCGTTTTCCATCTTACATCTTTTAAAATACTACAGAATGGCATCTGTCACAGCTTCATAAACCCGTTTCCTGACATTACGGAGGCTTTATCACCAAAGATGCTTTTGCAACCGGAGGTTAGAAAGTACCGCTGCAGATCCGAACCCCTCTCCAGCACAGCCAAACAGCCACCGCATAAAGCTGCTCCGTGGCGTGAAGAAGAAGCTGGAGAAGATGCACGTAGCATGGGGAACAAACAGGAGGAGCTAGAGATGTGTGCACGCCTCCAAGGCTACAATCTCATCGGCATCGTAGAAACTCGGTGGGATGGCTCCTGTGACCGGTGTGTTGGCATGGAAGGCTACAGGGTCTTCAGGAGAGACAGGCAAGTGAAACGAGGAGGTGGTGGAAAGGGGGCCTACAGGAGAGCGGGGGAAGGACTTTTTACTGGGGTATGTAGTGACAGGACGAGGGGGAATGGCTTCAAACTGGAAGAGGGCAGGGTTAGATGAAACATTAGGAAGAAGTTTTTCACTTTGAGGGTGGTGAGGCACTGGAAGAGGTTGCCCAGAGAGGTTGGTGAGGCCCCATCCCTGGAGGTGTTCAAGGCCAGGCTGGAGGTGGCCTTGGGCAACCTGGGCTGGTGGGAGGTGTCCCTGTCTATGGCAGGGAGGTTGGAACTGGATGATCTTCAAGGTCCTTTCCAACCTAAACCATCCTATGATTCTGAGATGATATTCATTACAGTCATCTCTACAGAAACAGGTATGTGGCCCAGACACTCCCGTCCAAACAAGAAGCACTGCCCAGGACAGGCATGTCACTGTTCAACAAGAGCCAATAGCTGCGTTGTTCTGTGGCACGAATCATCAGACACTAAACTAAATGCTGCCTACATGGAAAAAATACCTCGGGCTCTGACGTCTAACGGTCTGCAAAAACCAGGCTCAGCTGTTGACAGTGGTGTCCAGATGCTGAGGCCAACAGTATGAGGTTCAACCAGGCCAAGTGCCGGGTCCTGCACCTGGGTCACACCAACCCCCTTGCAGCGCTACAGGATTGGGGCAAAGTGGCTGCAAAGCTGCCCCATGGAAAAGGACCTGGGGGTGTTGGTGGACGGCCAGCTGAACATGAGCCGGCAGTGTGCCCAGGTGACCAAGAAGGCCAACGGCACCCTGGCCTCTATCAGGAATAGCGTGGTGAGCAGGACTGGGGAAGTGACCAACCCCCTGTCCTTGGCACTGGTGAGGCCTCACCTCGAGTACTGTGTTCAGTTTTGGGCCCCTCACGACAAGAAGGACATTGAGGTGTTGGAGTGTGTCCAGAGAAGGGCAACGGAGCTGTGAGGGGTCTGGAGGACACGTCTTATGAGGAAGAAGGGAGGGAACTGGGGGTGTTTATCCTGGAGAAGAGGAGGCTGAGGGGAGACCTTATCACCCTCTACAACTACCTGAAAGGAGGGGGTACAGGGGTGGGGGCTGACCTCTTCTCCCTGGGGACAAGTGATGGGACGAGAGGAAATGGGTTCAAGTTATGTCAGACGAGGTGTAGATTGGATATCAGGAAACATTTTTTCACTGCAAGGGTTATCAAACATTGGAAGAGGCTGCCCAGGGAGGGGGGGATTCGCCATCCCTGGGGGTGGTTAAAAAAAGGGGCAGATGTGGTACTTGGGGACGTGGTTTAGAGGTGGTTTTGTCAGGGTAGGTTAATGGTTGGGCTTGATGATCTTAAAGGCCCCTTCCAACCTCAGCGATTCTATGATGTGACATCTCTTGTGTCCACTTTGGGGCAAGTACCCTCAGTTACTGCCCTGTACGGCACGAAGAGAAACCCACAGCGCCGATGGTGGGGGACTTTCACGCGAGGACGGCGCTCAGGGCTCACACGGATCTGTCTGTGCACAGTAGCCTAAAAATATCCCATATCTTAATTCCATTTAAGAATGAGAGCTCAGTGCGTGTGCTCCAGGCTCTTCAGGATGGTCAGAATCCACCAATTTTCTCGGTATTAATTAAAATTGACAGGACTTAATTTAGGACACTCAGTCGCTCCTTGTAGGTTTTGGAGAACTGTGGCAGCTAAACCTGACAAACCAAATCACCTCGTTAATCTAGACATAGATGCAACCACCTAAAGCTAGCAGGGACTTAAAAATAAAAAATAATCAATGCAACCCAACTCTTTCCAGCTCGGTGTCATACCCAGTACCTCAACTAAAATATTTTTGCAGGAAAAAATGAATAATCTGTCATCTTACATAACCCAATTTTAAACAAACCGCAGCAATTCAGGATGCACAGGCGACTGAAAATTGAGACATCTTAAACACAGAAGCAAAACATTTTCTCTCCCCAGCCCACGGTTTCAGGATACCTCTATTTAGAGGTAAAGAAAAATAACGGCCGAGATGTTCTGTTTATTTGGTAGGTGTGTTTAATATCACTCCACGGAACGCGCTGAGCGGCTGCAGAGAAATCAAGCTGGGGCAGGGAGGGGGAATTAAACCCGTAACACTCCCTGGCACGATCCGAAGACGCGTGTGGTACGTTTCCAAAGAATAGCCCAGCTTTCCCGTTTCCAGCTCACGCTGCTGGAACAATCTCGCAGCCAAAGACCGGCGAGGGAATTGAAAAACCTGGGATCAATTTAAGGCTCGAGCACGGCTTCCTGTCCAGCTCCGTGGCTGAGTCCCTTTGTTCCTCCTCTCTTACACACGCAACAGCAGAAAGGGTAATTACGGAGAAGATGGGTTCATTAGCGGCAGAGGCAGTCACGCACCACCGTGATGGGTAACCGGCTGGCTAAATCTTAAAAAGGGAAATATTCACCCCGTTTTGCTCTACATCATGTCCCAGCTGCAGCATCTCATAAGCCAGATGAGTTATTTTAAAGGCAATGAGAACGACGAGGCTCGGGAGACGCGGAGCTTCGTATCACGCTGGCAGGAGACACCCCATGTCCTGCCAAGCCAGACACAGCTGACAAAAACCTCGCTGCTGTTGGGGAGCAGTAAGCACAAACCGAAAGACGACCCCTTACCTCTCTCTGAGGAAAGTGCAGCAAGCATCTTTGATGTTCTGCAGCTGAAGGAAACTTGCCCCCATCAGCAGAGACTGGACGTTCTGCTGATCTATGGCCAGGTGACCGTTGTAGGCAAAGTTGATCAGAGCCTCAAGCGCACTAAAAAAAAGGGGAGAAAGGGCAGAATATCCACTGAATTCGAGCTAGCATGGGACCCTACTAACAGAAAAACCTTTTCTAGTGCCAGTCACACGGAGGGTGAGCTTGCAGCCACAATGTCCAGGCCCGTGGAGCACTTGCGGTCCCCTCTGGAGACCCTCGCTCGCATGCCTTGGGACGTTACCTGGGATCCATCCCCTGCATGACAATCTCGTCCTGCTTGCACTCCATCATGTCGTTGGTGAACATGGCGTGGAAGTAGGGGATAGAAGCTGCCAGCACGATCCGGTGAGCGCTGAATTTGTGGTCCCCTACCTAAAAAGAGAGAGAGAGAGAAAAGGGGAAAGAGGAAAGATCAGCACCATCCACCACCAGCCGCACGGTCCGGATGGTTCACTGTAGCACAGCTCTGCCAACCCAGCAGCAACCGAGGGCTGAAAGTTGGAAAATTTCCATTAGCAAACAGGACGGCAGCCTGTCTCTCAAATTCAAACTTTTGAACCCAATTTCCCAGCCTCATAAGCCACCATAAGTGGTCAACCAGGCAAAAATAAAACAGTATTACAGCTCAAGAGCGGGGCGTCTCCAGATCGCTAACAGGGAACGGCCAGGTCCACAGAACCACGTATTTACACAAATCAACTCCGTATTCAACTGCGCGCACAGGTTTCAAACCCAGATCTGCTCTCCCCAGCTGCTCGGCGCAGGAAACGCTCCCCCGTGGCCCCGTTTCGGATAACACGTTGCCCCTAACAGCTGGCAATCGCCGACCCCGCATCACCCGGCTGATCCCAGGATGCCCTGAGCACAGCCACGAAGGCTCTCCACGAGTCCTAGACGGCAACGATTCTGCAGAACTGAAAGCCGGGTGATGCCCGTTTCTTCTTCCTTAGCCCTTCCTCTGAACCGGTGACCGGCTTACAGGTTAAATCCCACGCCCTTTTTCTTCTCAGGCACCCATCAGATACCTTCAGCTTACGCTCACAGCCGCTCACCTTCACTGTAACCTAGAGGATCACCCCGGCTCATCTTCTGTAAATCTCTGCAGGTTCACTTTCACCAGCTCTGCTATACCCGCTCACATTTATATCCTCTGAAGAACCTTCCCGAGCTACAGAGCGAGGCTTGGAAGCGGCTTCTCGCGTCTGATTCCAGTTCTCACTCCTGCAGACACTACACAATATTTTATCCTTTTCAGAATTACGCAGATCTTTGCTCCGATTACTTCTCTCTGTTGGTTCAGAGCTTTTTCCCCCCCTAATTTCCAGGCTAACCTGATTCACAGCAGTCTACGCCCATCTGAGCTTGTGCAGAACCGCCCTTTTCCCCCCCACTTCAGCAAGATTTTCCCCATTTGAGCTTTGTTACGCCAAGACAAGCTGGCACAGCAGGTCCTCTGCTCTCCAGGTCATCCAAGAAGCCCTCCTCTTCTCCTCTGCGCTTCTCCTCAAGAAAGCTTCATCGCCCTTTCACGTCTAGGCAGCTTATTAACAAAAACGTTTGCATTCGGGGTTTTCACCGTTCCCTTGCAGCGCCTTGCCCTCTCCCTCTGGGCCCAGAGCTCTCTCTCACCCAGTAAATTCAACGACGTGCTGGGAATTTAGAAAGCAAAATTACAGACACATTAAAAAAAAAAAATCCCGAAAAAATAAAAAAAAAAAAAAAAAAAAAAAGAAAAGCAACCAAAAAAACCAACAAAACAACAGGAGAGGGGGATTGGACCTTAGGGAAAATGCATAAGCAAGCAGTAGGAATTTCCCCCCCCCTTTTTTAAACAAAAGCATACTCAACTGCCACAAATGCTGTTACAAGATCTTTTTTTTTTTTTTAAAAAAAAAAAAACCAACCACCAGCTTGACCACGCAGCTGCTGGCCGTGCGTGCCTGCCTGCACGCCGACCGGGACTCGCAAACATTTAGCTCGTGGTCAGCTCGCAGCGCTGCGTGCCTCGGCTGCACGGGCACGTCTGCTCTGCCCGAACCTCCCAATCGACAAAAATCGTGCTGCAAACATCCAGTCAAACGGCTTCCAAGATTTGCTCCAGCCTGGAAACGGCAGGATCGCTTTTGGAGAGCCTTGCCTCTGTCCTGATCAGCTTCGGTGTGCCCACGCTGCCCGCTGTGCCCGGATTACCCCGCACAAACCCCGCTGATGCGGATTTTGCAGAGTTCCTGATGCTCAGAGCAAAAGCAGCAAGTGAAATGGTACACGCTATTAGAGCTCGTGGAAAAACACCTCAAATATATACACGTACGGCGACTTGTTAGCTCAAGATGGGTAAAGCCCAATATAAATCTCTTCTACCGACCCAAAACCACGTGCAAAACACCCCAGAGGCTCCAAGACTCGAGAACTGTGCTACAAGCACCGGCAAATCCTCTGCTGCTCTCTTCCCTACTCTGCTGACTCGGTCACTGATTTATCTCACGCTTTAACTTCACCTCCTGTGCCGGCATCGAGCAGAAGGAGACGAGCTTCCGAGACAGCCGAGCAGGAGCCAGACCATGGTGGGGAGAGAGGCAGGAATAAAAGGGCTTGCTTGGCAGACGAGGGCTAAGATGATGTTCCAGGAGAGAGAGGGAAGAAGCAGAAAAAGAATAAGGTAACGAAAGCAAGGGGATGGATGTTTTATGACAGCGAGCTGGTAAGGACAAGCATAGACTCGTGGAATGGTTTAGGTTGGAATGGACCTTAAATATCATCGCGTTCCAACCTTCCTGCCATGGAAGTTAAGACAAGAGTTCTACCAGCGCTACAGCAACAAGCACTGGATCACGGTGCGGACAAAATCATTGGCAGCAGCATCCTTGTGCGCACGCAGCGGGATGGGGAATCTCCGGTGAGAGGAGTGGAGACTGGAAGGACTCGCAAAGGAGCCCACAGTCAACGAGGGGACCGAGCTCAAGGTCACAAGCTCGAGCTCCGTTTAAGTAACGAAGGTTTGCAGAGCAGGGTTCCCCACCCTGACTTTACGCAGCCGCCGGCAAGCGAGCGCCAACTCTCTCGAACACAAGATGTTTAAAAATACTTATAAATACACTGAGGTTAAGGAGAAAAGCCCGTAAAGAGGAAGGAAGCCATTCAAGAACCTGCGCACCCCCTGAAAGCTGACAAAACCTCACTGTGTCCACGGCTGCGGGGTTTTCATTTCCTTACTCCGCAGGGCCGGCTGCCAAGTCAAGCACACGTGCGCACGAACAACTTTGCTTCTGTTCGTCTCCCCGTGCGAGCTAGTGTCCGAGGCGCTGCTCGGGAGAGAAGCACATGAGGCACAGGATCAAGAGAAGTAAATAAGGAAACTCGGGCGCTGAAGCTCTTTGTTTGGGGAAGGGCTGAGAGAGTTGGGGGGGGTCTCAGCCTGGAGAAGGCTCTGGGGAGACCTTAGAGCCCCTTCCAGTGCCTAAAGGGGCTCCAGGAGAGCTGGGGAGGGACTTTTTACAAGGGCATGTAGTGATAGGAGGAGGGGGAATGGCTTCAAACTGGAAGAGGGGAGATTTAGATGACATATTGGGAAGAAATCCTTTCCTGTGAGCGTGATGAGCCCCTGGCACAGGTTGCCCCAAGAAGCTGTGGCTGTCCCATCCCTGGAGGTGTTCAAGGCCAGGTTGGACGGGGCTTGAAGCAACCTGGGCTGGTGGGAGGTGTCCCTGCCCAGGGCAGGGGGGTTGGAACGAGATGATTTTCAAGGTCCCTTCCAACCTGAACCATTCTATGATTCTCTGAGAGGTTTACATACGACCTGGTTGACCGCGATGACTAAACTCGCTGCACAGCCTGTCCGCGTTCCAGCCCCGAGGCTTAGAAACGCCAGACCTGCTCGGCAAGCTCCGACGCTTCCCGGCCGTTCCTACCCGGCGGATGAAGCCACTCCACCAGCCATGCCTGCAGCAGCTCCTCCTGGCCCAACCTGCCGCCAGGGAGGAAGAAACGCCGGCAAAGCTCACAAAATGGGTCTCATTATTGACATACCTTAGCGCTTTAACTCTCGTGCATTGTACACAACACCCACCAGCCTGCGATGTCTCGCACAGATCCAGCAGAAGCTGCCGGAGGACTCTGGTGTCTCGGTGGTAGGACCTGTCCTATCCTTGTCACCTCCCCAGCTCCTTGCTGCCACGTGCGGAGAAAGGTCAGCGTTACCAGGGTCATTTCAGAGCTGGGGGACGGGAGCCACTGCTAAAGCAAGAGATGTATGCCCACAGATGAAGCCTGGAGCACAAGAGACGTCCGTCCCTCGGTTAAGGGCAAAGGGCTGATTAAAAACTCCAGGCTATTTTCTTTCATGCAAAACTCATTGCTTTAAAATGGGTTGTTTTTTTGTTTTGTTTTTTTTTCTGAAAACGTTTTCAACTAAAGGGTGGAGGACGGCAGTGCTGGGAGTCACCGAACAGGAGCACCCAGCTTCTGCGGGGAAAGCCCTTCTTGGGTGTCTCAAAAGTCCCAAAACACAGAAAAGCTCCATTTTTGCTTGAAAAAAGGCACAAGAACGAGGCCCCGTATCTCTAAAATGCTGAAAGACATTGTGGAGCCTGGAAGGAAGTCAGTCCAACTGCAATACTTACTTTGGTTTAATCTCCCTCTTAACTACAAGACGTGTTTGGATGAGTGTTTCCATCCAGGCAGCGCAGAGCGCGGTTGAGCGGGCAAGAAAAACATTTTAACCGACTTTCGTTTCCACCCAAACGCAATTTGCCAAAAGTCACAGCTATTCAAATGTCGTTTCACCTTTTTAAAAATAAGAAGCAAGTATTAAAATTGAATAGGCACCTGTTAAAAATGATACACCTGCTTCAAACGCATACAGCGATCCTCTAGTTACGACCAAAGTTAACCTTCTAACTAAAGCTAACAGCAATTTCAAGAGCAAGGTTATATTTACTCAAAACAAACAAGTCTACGGTGTTACCCAACAATGAGGAAAAAGCCCTCTGTTTTGGAAAATAACTGTAAAGTACTAAAGCACCGCCAGCTTGAAGTTTATTTTTAAAACAGATTTAGTTTTAAAATGGATCTGTGTGTCAGATAGACATCTACACCACAGTTACATTCACTGATTTCCGTCAGGATTTGGAGTGGTGTTCCTCAGGGGTCGGTACTGGGACCAGTGCTGTTCAACATCTTTGTTGGTAACATGGACAGTGGGATGGAGTGCACCCTCGGCAAGTTTTCCGATGACACCAAGCTGTGTGGTGAGGGAGACACGCTGGAGGGGAGGGATGCCATCCAGAGGGACCTGGACAGGCTGGAGAGGTGGGCCCAAGCCAACCTCATGAGGTTCAACAAGGCCAAGTGCAAGGTCCTACAGCTGGGTCGGG